AGGGGCGTCGGGTCGGAGCGTTGCCGAGAATCGAAATCGCATTGGCGAACCACGAGACAGAAACCTCTCTCTCTCTCTCTGCCTTCGAACGAATCGAGCGCGACGCGCGCGAGACCGGGAGTTCCGGGCGGCAGGAAAAAGTCCCTAGATTACGCGCGATTTTCACACAAACCAGTATGGGCACTCGCTCTTTTGTTTCACGTTCGCGCCGGTCCGTACTGCGCATCCGACATGTTTTTATTCTGACCAATCACAGGATTTTTGTACGTGTATTAGTGCAAAGTCGGTGTGCATAGAAAAATTCGCAGTGTTGATGAATAACGCGTAAATACTTTTATACGTTGGAGCAAGTAATTACATTAATTACTTTTATTAGAACATTTTCTTTCATAGGCCATTTCTATTTACAATAAATAATGTACGCCAGTTCGTATGCGCCTTTCCTGGATACGATCCTGAAAAGAGCCCAGGCACTTTTAGCCGTTGTTACACTGTTGGGGCGATCAAAAACATGGCGGAAAATTGAGAACGCCCAGATCAAAGTCGCCGACAAAGAGTGCAACTACTGGGGCCCGATTCTCGAAATCATTCGAAGAAGAAACGTATACGAATATTCTGCTCTGACAGAAAAGATGCAAGTCGATTGGTTAAAGCCATGCGAATAGCCAATCAACTTGCAACTTTTCTGTAAGAGCAGAATTTTCGCATACGTTTCTCCTTCGAATAAATTCAAGAATCGAGCCCCTGGTTATACTGTGGTTATACTGTGATTTTCATGTAACCCGCGTACCGCCCCCCCCCCTCCTCCAAACACGATTGGCGCGTCGCGCGCGGCGGGGGATTCCCGATCGATCGATCCCCGGCTTTTCCGCGCGCACGCGAGAGAGGTCAGTGGGTCAAATCGGGACCGCGAGCGCAATCCCTCCGTTCGAAAATCTCCCCCCCCGGTCCCTCCCGCCGCGCCCAATTCTCCCTCTCTCGCGCGCGCGCGCGCGCGTTCCGAACGGCACACGCGCAGAGGAGCGCGCGGCTCCGCACTTCCGTCCGCCGCGTCGCTCGCTCACTCCTCGGTCACGTGGCGAACGCTAGCTCGGCGCGGGACTTGGCGGGGCGGGAGGGGGAGGGTCCAAGCGCGGAGAACAGCTGACTCGGGAGTAGGGGAAGAGGCCCGCAGTAGTTTAGGATTCGCGAAACGGGGAGAATCTAACCGCGTAACCGCGGAGATCCGTTCGTCTCGGGCAAGCGCTCCGCGCCCTCCGTGCCCTCTCGCACCCTCGGCCGACGTTTATTTCATTATAATCGCGGGAAATGTGAAACGGGGGGGCGCCCGACGACACCGTCCCCGGTCAGCTGTACCCGCCGCATCGCGCCCTCCCTGCCTCGCCGGCGCGCGGCGCGGTACGCCCGTCTCGCTTCGGGTGCAGAAGGTGCAGCGGGCCGCGGTGCCCCGTGCGTGCGCGGCTCTGGCACCTCCGTTCGGTTCGTGCGGGGTGCGAGTGAGCGAGAGAGGCGGGATTCATTACAAAATAAGGCCCGCGCGCTCGGACGGGTTAAAGATGGAAGCGATGGACACGATCGCGAGCTCGCATCCGCGGCGGACGCACAACAGCTACGAGGACGAGGAGGAGCGGAAGCACTTCCAGAGGATCGTCTCCGCGTTCCGGTATTACAAGTGAGTGCCACCGCGGCCGCTCTTCCGCGTTAACGCTCGCCCGACTCTTTCCCCGCGGCAGCTTCGCGCGGGCGATCGTTCGCCTGGACCCGGTCTCGCCGTACGTCGCTTGGCTTCAATCTCAGTTTAATTCGCGCTCGTCTCTGTCCGAAGTAACCGAGGGGGGCGAACCGCTCGCGGCATCGTGGCGTACAGATCTGCGGCATTACTGGGCATTGCCAGGCGTCACTAGGCATTTTTGGGCATTATTTTGGGCATTATTTTGGACATTAGGTCTTGCTCGGACGTTATATGCGTAGGATAAGATAAGACAATTGATAAAGTGATGGGCGCTAGGCATTAACTGGCATTGGTGTGCAAGATTTTGGTCAGCGGTTTCCTCCTCGGAAGTAACGTTGGAGAGAGAGAGAGAGAGAGAGAGAGAGAGAGAGAGAGAGAGAGAGAGAGAGAGAGAGAGAGAGAGGGAGAGACAAGGAACGGTTGAACTTGGGCTTAAAGTTGAGCGACGTAGGTGAAACCAGGCTTCGGAGGTCATTCTCTTTCTCTCCCTTCCCCTGCGATACGTTTGTTGTGTAAATAACGCCGCCGGCCCGACCTGCTCGACGCACAGGAATTCACGTTTACCCTCGCTCTCTTCTCTGTTTGTTGCAGAACGCACTCTCTGCAGAGAGTGCGAAAGACGGAGTCTTTTTTCCTAAGTCTGCCCCAACACCACCAGAAGTTTCTGGCCAAGTACAAGGAGCACTTGCAGGAGGTCAAACGGTGTATCGATAACAACGATCAGATCATCAAGCTCATAATAAAGGACGTGGCTCATATATTTGAAAATGTGTGTCCAAACACGGCCCAAATTGACAATGTAAGGGACACTCGCCTGACAGTCACAGTTTAAGTTTTACTACCTGCTAAATGTAATCAACGCTTTCGGATATATCCAAGTCTTTCCGTCATATATTTTGCCGGGAGATTGTTCAATCATTCCAACGTACTCTCGCAACATTGTTCCGCCGTAAGTAAATGGCTTTCATTGCAGACGCTGAACCTAAGGCCTGTAATGTCGGATCAGGAAAAAGTGCAGGCCACTATCAAACAATTGGTACGTGACTGGAGCGTGGAAGGCGCTGAGGAACGGAAAGCATGCTATCAGCCAATCGTAGACGAAATATTACACCAATTTCCATCGGACCAGTGGTACGGTAATCCATGATTGCTGCGTAAGCGGTCGCTATTAATGTACCAAGAGAACGTAGAAAGCAAAAACGAGGGAAACTTGCAAAATGTCTTGGAGACTTTAGCTGCTCGTTCATCGGAGGCCAAAGCCTGCGGACCGAACGAACCTTGGAAGAGACCGCAGTTGACGTCTCCAAGATGCTACGGAAGCTTCCCTCGTGCGTCGCGCCAAGATTGAGAGAAATCTGAAATGACGATTGAATTTCCAGTACGCCGTCGGACGTGAATATTTTAGTACCTGGCGCAGGGTTGGGTCGACTCGCCTTTGAAATCGCGAAGCGCGGATATACCTGCCAAGGAAACGAATTTTCCCTGTTCATGCTGTTCGCGTCGAACTTTGTATTAAATAAGTAAGTAAAACGATACGCGCCTCGAGCGCGCCAGGCAATAATCGCCCCCGCGAATCTTTTGTCACAATTCCCTCTCTTGAAACAGATGTAGAGATATAAACTTGTATCAAGTACACCCGTGGGTGCATCAATACATGAACAACTTGAAACCCGAGCATCAAACGCAAGCGGTCTCCTTTCCCGACGTGAGCCCGAGCGATCTTCCAGGAACGGCGCAATTCTCTATGACCGCGGGTGACTTTTTGGAGGTAAAGTGAGAATGCACATACGTATGCAATTCATAATGGCGTTTGGTTTGATAAAATCGACACGATTTGTTTCAGGTTTATGCGGAGAGTAATCATTGGGATTGCGTCGCGACATGTTTCTTTATAGATTGCGCCAATAATGTTGTGCAATTTATAGAAACGATCTACAAGATCCTAAAGCCGGGCGGCATCTGGATAAACCTCGGACCATTGCTCTATCATTTCAGCGACCTACCAAACGAGGAGTCGATCGAGCCCAGTTACGACGCCATCCGCGACGTTATACTCGGCTTCGGCTTTCAATTGGAGGTAACGAACTCGGTTTTTGCGCGCGACACTTTCGGAACGACCTGTATTCAATCGTATCGTTTATTTTGTTTCCAGAAGGAGCAGGCAAAAGTGAAAACGCGTTATGCCCAAAATATAAACAGTATGTTACAGTGCGAATACAATAGCGTGTACTTTGTTTGTCGGAAGCCCGACCGACATGAAGACGGTGTGAATCACAATCAGAACGGAGACGAAACTAATAGTGCGCGAGAACAAGAAAACTGATTAAAGCGTGATTAATGACGCTTTTTCTTTGAAAGAAGAAATGTTGAACACTTGAAAAGTTATTGTTTAAGTGCACCCGTGTTTCATGAACTATTGCTAGAGATAGTTTTGTGATTACGAGAATTATCCGAGGTTTCTTATACCATTTCTTTCCTTTCTTTCTCTTTTTTTTTTTATGTCTTTACCTGTCTCGGTCTGTCTCGAGTTCAGAGACTCATTTCATACGAGCGAGTTTTCAATGGTACTACAAGAGATTGTCTTCGTAACTTCAGTAATGTTTTGAAGATAATAGATAAATTATTTTTTTACATTCATCAATGTTTCCATGACTCCAGACAATATCTAATCTAGCTAAATCTCCCGTTCATTGTCGACGGTCGTACGATTGAAAAGCAGGCGTACATTTGACAGGTTTATAAAATTATTTACAAGATGATGGTTTTTCATTACGGTACAATATTATAAAAGTGACGTTATTACATCATGTGATTATATATACGTATATACATACGCACAGTTATGTTAAAATTAAAAAAAAAGAAAGATACACAAGTTCAGTTTTATCATACATTATTATTGAGATATTGTACAAATAACGTCGCGGTTTGGCCAACTCTGTTTTGTTGCATCTTATTAAACTGTATAAACTGCCTTCGTAACATCGCGAGTCTCGACGGTGCGGGCGCGCGTTCCAAGTTGACGCTCGAGCCTGGTATTTTTATATCGTTGCTCACTCCCAGTCGTCCCATCGACAATATCGCCTTTGACATGAAAGAAAAATATATCAGCGTTACATGAACCGTTGGATAAAGCATCGTGTAAAACAACTTTACAGATTGCTTCATGGATCGTGCGTTGCACAGCAGAAGAAACGACTTTTAGAACGAGAATAACGAAAAATGCGGGACTACTGTATATAAATTCTGAAACGTAACGTTCTATAGCTTCCTCCGTCAACATGGAATGCCTTTCTGAATGATCTTGAACAGAACTTACGTTTGCCACATCTTTCGTCACGTTATCCAATTCGTACAGATAATTCGTGGACGCCAACGGCGGCTGAAAGGACAAATGTCTGGGTAAGATACCGGAAGGATCGCGGCCGAAGGGTGGAAAGAAAAAGAGATACCAACGTTCTGGGTGCTCAGATTTGGTTTCGGCAATTTGCCCGTGTAGAGGTAGCGGTGAATTTCATCGCACGTTAGATCGTCCTCCGGCAAAACTGTGAAAAGTGGACAGTCCCATCGGTTTGTACTTTCCGGCGCTTCGTACCTGTTGCATTCGACGTCTGATTATCACAGAGCTCGCCGGTCGCTATGGACGTTCGGGCGATTTCGCGGCTCGCGTGCGAGTGAGTCGAACGCACGCTGCAGTGAGAGCAACATTTCTCGAGACTCGATGCCCGTCGACCGATCCACCCGCGTGCGAACCGAGAAATCGCCCGAACATCCGGGCCCTAGTTGTCACTGCGCGATCACCTGGACACAAGCGACTCAAAGATCTCCTCGTTGTACCGGTCCGACTCGGGTCGTTGGTTGTTCCACATCCAGGCTTGTTCGATCGGCAGGTTGCAGTGCAGCGTGCACTGGGGAGTCTTGTACAATTTCGTCGTGCAGTAGACCTCGTATCGGTATCCCTTGATGTAATTGCTGCCGTCGAGTATCAGCAAGTCGTTCGAGTCCAGTTTACGTTGAACGTCGGACTTTATCGAGCTCCTGACGGCCTTCTCCTTCTTCGAATCTGAAAGGCGCGAGACACGATTGGGCACAATGTAGTTTAAATACTTGGGGCAGCAAAACAACCCAGTGAGAAATGATCCGTCGATTCGGCATTGATCGACGAGTCACTTCTCGCTGGGAAGTTCGCTACGAAATTGCCGAGTATTCACAGAAACAAGATTATCAGTCTTTGGAATGTTTAGTCGACCCAACTGGCATAAGCTTTATTTGGTAAATGTTACATCCACTACGTTTCGACCATCCGGATTATGGTCCTTCTCAAGTGGTTGGTAATATACTCAAATAATTATCAAATTACATATGGTATTCTACACTAGGGAGAGACATGAACAATAACTGCTTTAAATGTTCTGTTACAAATCTTGTCAAGATTATGGCTGATGGCAGAGAACAATCCGTAAACGC